ACAGATAAAGAAAAATGTTTTGGTCTTTGTTTTATTAAACAGAAATTTGACATTAAAGCTGGACATAGATGGATAGAATTTTGAATGAAAATTCTTAGGTAAAGTCTTAGGAAAATTTGTACAAAAAATTCTCAGAACATTCTCAACAGTCAAAATGTGAAAACATTTTGTTTGCTTTTAACATTTGATTTTGGAAGGAATTAACTTTATTGAATGAAAACCACATACACTGTTAGAAATTTGTTCTTTTGAGAAAAAATTTCCATCTTGCTCCTTCAGATTTTCTTCTGTCATTGCAATTGAAAATGGATGATTTGAACCCACTAATGACTAGAAAAACAAACATTCTTAGGACTTTCTTTTCCTAAGAATTTTCATAAAAAATTCTACCTAAATTCTGCCCATCTGTGGCAAGCTATAAAAATTAACCTTATCTTGCAATCCTTCTATCTAACAATACCTGTACATATGGTATAAGCATTTTGTTGTATTCTTGCTCTTATCAAACTTACTTTTACTTTTTTCGTTTCTCCTTCCATCCTGCTCTCATTGGCTTAGACTATTTATTTTTTTTATTGGTTTACCTTAGCCGATAGAAAAAACTTAATAGTTCCATCTAACTGGTAAATGTGGGATAAGATAATTGCATAACGACTAGTCATGTAAGATCAAACTCATCCTTCAAAGTATCATTTCCAGTTGCTATCTAGGGTTTGCTAGAGAGCTGTGACAAATGAGGGGGGCCGGTAAAGAAAGTAACAGTAAAAATAGTAAGTTTTACTTACAATCTCTTAACCAGCATCATCCTAACTATACAGTCAGGTCCATAAGTATTGGGACATCGACACAATTCCAACATTTATGGCTCTATACACCACCACAATGGATTTGAAATGAAACGAACAAGATGTGCTTTAACTGCAGACTGTCAGCTTTAATTTGAGGGTATTTACATCCAAATCAGGTGAACGGTGTAGGAATTACAACAGTTTGCCTATGTGCCTCCCACTTGTTAAGGGACCAAAAGTAATGGGACAGAATAATAATCATAAATTAAACTTTCACTTTTTAATACTTGGTTGCAAATCCTTTGCAGTCAATTACAGCCTGAAGTCTGGAACGCATAGACATCACCAGACGCTGGGTTTCATCCCTGGGGATGCTCTGCCAGGCCTCTACTGCAACTGTCTTCAGTTCCTATTTGTTCTTTGGGCAGTTTCCCTTCAGTTTTGTCTTCAGCAAGTGAAATGCATGTTCAATCGGATTCAGGTCAGGTGATTGACTTGGCCATTACATAACATTCCACTTCTTTCCCTTAAAAAACTCTTTTGGTTGCTTTTTGCAGTATGCTTTGGGTCATTGTCCATCTGCACTGTGAAGCGGCGTCCAATGAGTTGTGAAGCATTTGGCTGAATATGAGCAGATAATATTGCCAGACACACTTCAGAATTCATCCTGCTGCTTTTGTCAGCAGTCACATCATCAATAAATACAAGAGAACCAGTTCCATTGGCAGCCATACATGCCCACGCCATGACACTACCACCACCATGCTTCACTGATGAGGTGGTATGCTTATGATCATGAGCAGTTCCTTTCCTTCTCCATACTCTTCTCTTCCCATCACTCTGGTACAAGCTGATCTTGGTCTCATCTGTCCATAGGATGTTGTTCCAGAACTGTGAAGGCTTTATTAGATGTTGTTTGGCAAACTCTAATCTGGCCTTCCTGTTTTTGAGGCTCACCAATGGTTTACATCTTGTGGTGAACCCTCTGTATTCACTCTGGTGAAGTCTGCTCTTGATTGTTGACTTTGACACACATACACCTACCTCCCGGAGAGTGTTCTTGATCTAACCAACTGTTGTGAAGGGTGTTTTGTTCACCAGGGAAAGAATTCTTCGGTCATCCACCGCAGTTGTTTTCCGTGGTCTTCCGGGTCTTTTGGTGTTGCTGAGCTCACCGGTGCGTTCCTTTTTTTTAAGAATGTTCCAAACAGTTGTTTTGGCCACTCCTAATGTTTTTGCTGTCTCTCTGATGGGTTTGTTTTGTTTTTTCAGCCTAATGATGGCTTGCTTCTCTGATAGTGACAGCTCTTTGGATCTCATCTTGAGAGTTGACAGCAACAGCTTCCAAATGCAAATAGCACACTTGAAATGAACTCTGGACCTTTTATCTGCTCATTGTAATTGGGATAATGAGGGAACAACACACACCTGGCCATGGAACAGCTGAAAAGCCAATTGTCCCATTACTTTTGGTCCCTTCACAAGTGGGAGGCACATATGCAAACTGTTGTAATTCCTACACCGTTCACCTGATTTGGATGTAAATACCCTCAAATTAAAGCTGACAGTCTGCAGTTAAAGCACATCTTGTTCATTTCATTTCAAATCCATTGCAGTGGTGTATAGAGCCAAAAATGTTAGAATTGTGTTGATGTCCCAATATTTATGGACCTGACTGTATGTAATGCATTATTGCTTGGAAGAGATTAATTTGCACAGTTATATCATTATTCTACTATAGATTATGCATGGGCTTGGTTCTGTTGTTTTATTAGGGAAATTCAACTTGGATAGGAAAATAGGGATTATTGGTTGCCCAATTTGACTTGAAACAATGGAAGGGGGACACTTCCTTCCTATGTACAAAGCAGATCCTGGACTGTTCTTTTCCTGAAAGCCATCAGTCATTGTGGATCAGTAGCAGTTGCCCTTTATGGGCGAGGAACTAGCATCCCCTCAAAAATCACTTTACTTCTCATAGCTACAGCCAGAGACGTCTGCTTTCCCCCCACAGCCTGCAAGCACCTTCAGCCCTCCTGGCTTCACAGAAGATCTCCTGGGACAAGGATAAAGGATTAAGCTCAATGCTGTCCTTAGAAAGCTTGCTACGTGTGGCAGTCTTTCCCCTGTAGATTACATAGTGGGCTGCTGTACTCACACTGTCCTCCTTGCTCCCTGCTACTCCACGCCTTGATCCCCATCCACGCCTCTCCACAGAATGTATCCTCCTGAGCCAGCCCGAGCCCAGCCTAGAGGCCGCCCCCCCCCCCCAGACATAGGGGACCCCTCCAAGGCACCGACAGTCTCCTTAGCACTCCATCTTCCACCTGACTCCCCTGTCAGCCTGACTCCCCCATATTTATAGGCCAGCCCACCACTCTACCAGGGTCTCCAAACCTGGGGTTGGCCAGACCCCACGTGAATATGCTGATTGGGCCTCTACCCCTCCTTCTTATTGACTTCTGGTAGGTTCTATGGTCCCTGAAAGCCAGGAGGAGGCGATAGAGCCACAACCTGTCTTTAACTCTTTACTCTTTACTCTTTAGTCTTTACTCTTCTTTGTAAAGAGAACAGTCAAAAATTACATTTTTCCTTTATTCTGTTTTGTTCCTTTGTCTTTCCCTTCTTTTACTGCTATGTACATTGCTTGTTACTTCACCTGCTTTCTGTAGCTTTGCACTGTTCACCTCTCTTCTCATCTGTGAGTATCTCTAATGCTTGAGATTGCAGTCATTTCATGTAAATAAGTATAAATCATAGTTAATCTACAGTATATGGGGATAAATTATACATATTTTATGTACTGTGCTACCATATTATGTGCAATAAGACAGTTATGCAGTTTGTCCCATAACAGACAAGCTCCCTGCAGCAATAGCATAATCGTAATGCCAAGGATTATAATTGCAGGGCAACAGGTGGATGAATATTGTGGAGTTTATTGAGTGCTGCTGTGAAATATGGGTCTGACCAAAATGTGGATACAACTAGGAGAATAGTTACATACCTTTTTTAAGTCCCTGTTTTGGACCCATAGTAAATATTATTATGTAGTTTATCTTAAAATGTGATTTCAAAATATGCAACTGACATGTTTTAAAATTTAATTATGTAGTATCAATGAATTGTGTTAACTTTCTTTTTTTTTTTTTTCCTTTCATTTAAACAGGAGCCATTGGAACTTTGGTTCTTCAAAAGTAAGGAAATAAAATAATAAAAAACAAACAAATAATAGCTAAGGAAATAGCAATGTGATTGAGATTCCTGTACTTTACAAAATATTAATCAGCTGCTCAACTCCTCCATCTGGCTTCTTGGTCCACTTTTCATCATTGTAACAGATGGACAGAGATTGAACGTCTTTGGATAGCTCTGATTCATACTAACTCTTTGATATGGTCTCAAAAAGTGAAGGTTAGCAGTGCTCAGCTTCTGACATCTACGGTCCATACCAAACATATCTGGGCTTACTGTAATGCTAAATTTCATCAGTTACAGCTTCACAGATGGTTTATTTTTTGAATAATCCCCATTTACCTTCCTGTCTCAAGAGACAGGTAACATCTCCTTGGTTAGCAAAAAGCATTTTTACGCTACTGTGATATTGTAAATCCTGTATGTGAAGTTGTTTTCTTTTTCTAAATTATCTTCCTTTGAGAGAATATGCCTAGATGGTTCTAAGCAACAGCTTCTCATTACCAATATATATTGTTTACATACATCTCTAGATACTTCCCTTTTCCCTAAACTTGGCTACATGTTCAAGTGGGGAGAACTTTGGAATTGGAGGAGTGGGAGGACGTCTGGGATAATGCAAATAAAACTTCTTTATGTACCCTATTTAAGAAAATAGCAATGTAAATTACTATTAAATTGAATATAAGACCTGTTGTGCTAAGGCAAAGTCATTTTTGATTAGACGTACTGTAGATATAAATGACTCTCAAATCAAAAGAAAGAAATACAATATTAATAATAGTAATAATTTTATAGTAATCATTTCATACTTGTTTCTTTATACATATTGAAGAGTTTCCCCCCTTTCTTTTCACTTTTGATTTATGTTTTTTTCAGCTTCCATTAAATAGTTTTTATGGGACATATGAACTTCACGTCAGAGGATTTTCTGAGGGTAAACAAATATTTTTCAATTCAACTAAACTTGATTTTAGATCCAAAAGCTATTCTGTATTTATTGAAACAAACAGCAACTTTTACAAGCCGGGACAAGAAGTAAAAATACGAATTTTGGCCTTCTCTGCCGATCTGAAGCCTTACATGTCTACCATTGATATACACATTATGGTAAGTTAATTTATATGGATCTCTTTTACTATCACTTAACATAACACCATGTTTATGTGTAAGATACTTGTCAGATATGCTATACTATATTTGTAGTGACGAGTACTTCCCCAAAAGTGTATCTTATATATAACATAGGAACATAATCCCTATAAACTATGGAACAGGGGCGGACTGACCATTTGGAAACTCGGGCACTGCCCGAGGGCTTGGGGTCAGTAGGGGGCCCCATGAGATGCCCCTGGTACCTTTTTCATAGGCTTTTTTTGAGTTTGGGCAAGGACACAGGGGCTCTATGATCCCCTATTGCCCGGGGGCCCCATGAGTTGTCAGTCCTCCCCTGCTATGGAACATATACATAAAACCATGGAACTGTCATTAAAGTGTGCAACATGTATCATACACATAAACAATATGTGCAAAAAAGCAATTCTCTTGTGCAGGTCCTACATGTGCCTTATTAAACACTCTAAACCTATAACACTCAACAAAAGTGTCCAGAAGCTGCTGTTTCTCTTCCTGTGAAAGCTGTGTTACTACTCTTGTAAAAGTACTGTGTCCACTAATAGTACATGTAACAAAATTATCATTCAGTGATATTAAACACTACCCTTTATGCAATTATCAATCTCTGCTGTGCGTCCAGTCCCCCTCTTTAGCAACTCTCAAGATTTTTAGACCATTGTATTAAAATTGGTCATTAGCGCTTGTAAACCACTGGTTATGTGGCCATCATTCACTGTCATCGATCTAACATAAAGAGGAGACACACTTTCCATAGCATAGTGTAATACAGTTTTGTAAATCAAAAGTAAAATCACTTCTAAAAACAATTGTCAGTGCCAGACCTTGGCACTAAAAGAATATCATAAGTATTGTGTAGACGCCAGTTCCACCTGGTGTCGCTACGTGGTGCAAACTGGATGTCCTGTGTGAGATGCAAGCCTAGATCCCAACCCAAGCGTTTTATCATTCAGTATGATCAGAATCACTGATGAAGACAGTGAATGATAAAAACACGTAGGGTGGGGTCTAGGCTTTTGTGACATCATCCCACACAGGGCACCGAGTTTGAACTGAGTAGAAGGAGCAGGTGGAACTGAATACTTATGCTATTATTTTAGTGCAGCTACTGGCACTGACAAATGTGAGTTTTTTTTAAGGTGTTTTCATTATTGATGCCATATAAGACTATATTACAATATGGGAAATTTTGCTCCTCTAGTTCCTATGTCAGATTTATGACAGTGAATGGTGGTTGCATTACCTATGGTTTAAAAGTACTAATGACCCAATTTAATATAAGGGTCAAAAGATCTGGTGAGTTGCTTGGATAAGGAGGTGGTGGACACATAGCCGAGATGGAAAATTGCATGAAGGGAAGTGTGCAAAAGCAATGAATGTTTTGCTACACAGACTAATAGCATACACATTACTTTTTCAAGAGTAACACAGCTGCCACAGACAACACCTTCCGGACATTTTTTGTTGAGTGTTATAGGTTAGTGTTTCTCAACCTTCTTTCATTCAAGGCACCTTTTAAATTATGGACCATCCCCAGCACCTTTTAAAATTATGGGACAGTCTTGAGGCACCGCATTCTCAAATGGGGTGCCTCAAGACTGTCCATGATTTTAAAAGTGTACCCCATTCTAAAATGTGAAAAAACTATTTTAATTACACAGCAACATCCACACATGTAGGATACCCAACATTAGAGGTGATTTATTCTTCCAAAGCAAATACACTTTTGCACACTGGTACTGAGTAATATTCCAATGTTTCTCTTCTCCCTCAGTTTTTATTCTTCATTGAGCTAATGTGACCCCAGCACAGATGGAGAGGGGGGGGGGGGTCAAACTAGGATTGTTGTGCAGGCAGCTGACATCCTCCTTATCAATTAGTGATGTAATTGGTTGCCAAGACGCTGGCAGCAGGATGGTAGTAATGGTGCACAATGAAAACCTATGACTTTGTGTAACTACAAGGCAGGCTTGTTTCACTTGCTGGCTTGTATACAAGTTTTGGGCAATCTTTAGACATATTGCCAAGGCACCCCTGAAGAATCTCAAGGCACCCTGGTTGAAAAAGGCTGGATTAGAATGTTGCATAGAGCACACTGCAGTTTATGCTGGACTTGCACAAGGGAATTGCTTTTTGCACAGATTGTTCTCGTGTATGAAACATGTTGTAATGTAATTAGAGTACCATGGTTTGATGCACTTTAAATGTATTGTGTTGCAAATTACAAGTAATTTTCCATAGCTTATAGGGATTAGGTTCAAGTCTTATATATAAGATACATTTTTGGGGAAGTGCTGTACAATACACAGGTGGTGAAAAATATAATTGTGATATTTAAAATACAGCAGCTGGGAGTAAGAAGGAAGTGTGGACTCACTGCATATAGTTATGCTATACTATATGCCATGCTATATGATATTTCAGTAACTTTAAAAGTCTGCTTGAATACATTCTAGATATCCTTTATTATAAAGCAACTATATAATTAAACATATATATATTATATAACATTTAACTATATAATTTTTTTATTAAAAAAACTATATGTGTTACCATTAAAAACACAGTTCTTAATTTCTAAGGAATTGATATAACATAGATTACCCGCCACCCCCACCTCTGAGAAGCGATCAACCACAAATTGCTTTCCAGAAGGCTGCTGCTAGTGTAAATTTGTCTAACTTTGTAGCAAGTCATAAGATGAAAACCTGGAGAAGGGGACTGATTTGCCTTACATGTTTAAGGACACAGCCAGAAATTGACCAGAACCAGGATTTACATGATCGTGCCATCTCTGAGCCAGCATCTCAGACTATAGTGGAGGTACAGGGGTTTGTTTATTGAAACTATTTCACTCAGAATTTCGTTTCACCTGTGCATGGTAGCCAATCAGCTTCTAACCTCAGCTTGTTCAATTAAGCTTTAGCAAAAAAACCTGTAAGCTGATTGGTTTCTATGCAGAAGTGCACGAGATTCTGAGTGAACCGGCTTTAGTAAATAAACCCCACAGAATACCTTTTAGCACTCTCGAAATGTGAATTGTCAGTTCATGCACATAGTACACATGCAGTAAATCCCTGCCCCTTTCCCATGAAGCTTGGTCCTATTACTCCAATAGGAGTAGACCGCTTCCCTACTATGATATAGTAGAAGAGTAAATAAATGTGCTACATTTCATACTATCAATAAACAGGAGCTTTGATTCATTGTCAAGCAAAAAACCCTCCTGATTTAAGCAGAGACATACAGACCCATAATGCTACTGGACGAACACACAAATAAAGAATTCTTGAATATGTACATCAAAAACTATAAAATACTATAAATAATAAAACATTCAAATAATACATTCTCATAGTTAACCCATTTGCATCAAGAGTTTTCTTATTTCTTACTATGGCCAAAGGTTTACTTAGATGATAAAGAAAAGGAGGATAATCATATGTCTCATTGTAATAATGTTATTTTTAAAGGACCCACGTGGAAACTTACTTGAGCAGTGGATGGAAGAGGAAGCTGAATTAGGAGTTGTATCAAAGAGTTTTCAGTTAAGTGACAATCCGCCACTTGGAGACTGGTCGATAAAAGTAAAATTACAAGTGAGTATAGTATGGATAAATTCACAATACTTCTTCAACTGATCTCTGGAAATATGGGTGATGTAATGGGCATTACATTGTATTAACATTATTACAAGGCCTTGCTAAAAAGGTGCATTAAAAAAGTAACCCTACTCAAGATTTTTATATATTTTTGGAGATGTGTGGCTTTAGTTTCCATACTATATTCAATCGCCCATATACATGTAAAGAACTATTGGTAGCAGTAGAAGATGATTTACAATATTACTCCATAGAAAGCTGAATAATCAAACCTAAGCTGCATTGAAGAACGGGAACCAAACCTTCTAGTAGGATAGCTTCCTTATGGTCAGCAAGAATGTAAATGATCCATTAAAAATCCAAAGCACAGTGGAACATTGCTTTTGCCTGTAAAATGTTTGTATTTTAAGCCCTTTAGCAGAATCCACTTGAAGGAGGAATGATAGCTAGTATATGAGTTATCAAGTAGTAGTGATTTTTAATTCTGTTTGATTGTGCAAACCACCCATTCCAGGTGTACCAATATACCCACACACAGTCACCAAATATAAGTTAGAGCAGCCTCTTTCAACCAGGGTGCCCAGGCACCCTGGGGTGCCTTGAGGTCTCTTCAGGGTTGCCTTGGCAATATGTAAAAATGCCCAAAACTCGTATGCAAGCCAGCTGGTGGAACAAGCCTGCCTCCTGCTGCTGGAGTCCTGACAACCAATGACATCATCAGTTGACAAGGAGGATGTTGGTTGACTGCACATCATCTTTGTTTGCACATCATCTTTGGGTGCCTTGACTGAAAAAAGGCTGAGAAACACTGATTTAGAGTGCAAAACAGTTTATTGGCTTTTATATACTTACTAATATGCTAAGTAATTTGGGACATTGGTGCAGAGTATAGGCATAAGAGTAGCATATTTTGCCACTTTACGTTGTCAGCAACCAAATAGAGAACAAGATGCCTGTTGCTATTTTTCTGGATAGATTGGAGAAGGGTAAATCATCTGTTAGGTTTTTAGTGCTGTCTTGGTTTCTTTTCAGGTGATTTCTTTACTGTCACTTGGGTGGGTAGGGAGTCAGGGATATTCTGCACAATGGCACAAGGACAGTAATAAATATCTGACAGAGGTTACAAATTAGTTTTTTCCACTGTATCCAAAACAAAATGCAAAAATTTTTGGCTGGCCATTTCTCTTAAAACCACACATCATTTGTGTATGTTTGTCTCATTGGAAACCCCTGTAAGTCATTCATGGATCTTTGGTAGACTTACCCAACATGCCTTCTGTAAGAGTTATGTTTCCAAAGACAGAGAATGAAGAATCTCAATGCTGCACAGCGTGGACTACTAGTTGCTGGAGTCTGATTTCGCAGGAGTCCACTGATTTAAGATTACTTATACACTTGTCAAATTTTGAATGCCTAAAGGTGGCTATACATAGATTAAATTTCCCTTGTTTTCTGTCCAAATGTGATCTGTTGGTGCACCTGTTGGCGCCACCCAGTTCAACAACCTTCGATGTGAAGATGAATGGAAAATTGTAAGCTAAACAAGGACTGCAATCAGTCAACTGCAATCCTTGTTCAGGTTTTCTGACAGCTGTGAGCATTGGCTGTCAAAATACAATAGCTGACAGGGGAAATTCATATATCCACACTATTTAGCATATATGGAAGAATCTGTTAGATTTCTTGTGTTCAGTTTGCATGTCTAACAAATTATGCACTGATCTGCATGTTCATGAGGGAAATAAGTATTTGATCCCCTATCATTCAGCACGATTTCTGGCTATTAGGTGTCTTTCATACAGGTAACAAGCTGAGATTAGAAGCAGTCTCTTAAAGGGAGTGCTGATAATCTCATTTTGTTACCTGTATAAAAGACACCTGTCCACAGGAGCAGTCAAACAATCATATTCCAAACTCTCCACCATGGAAAAGACCAAAGAGCTGTCCAAGGATGTCAGGGACAAGATTGTAGACCAACAAAAGGCTGGACAGGGCTACCAAACTATCGCCAAGCAGCTTGGTGAGAAGGTGACAACAGCTGGTGCAATCATTTGCAAATGGAAGAAACACAAAACAACTGTCAGTCTCCCTAGGTATGGTGCACCATGCAAGATCTCACCTCATGGAGTGTCAATGATCATGAGAACAGTGAGGAATCATCCCAGAACTACATGTGAGGATCTTGTCAATGATCTCCAGGCAGCTGGGACCACAGTCACCAAGAAAACAATTGGTAACACACTATGTCGACAAGGATTGAAATCCTGCAGTGCCTGCAAGGTCCTTCTGCTCAAGAAAGCACATGTCCAGGCCCGTCTGAAGTTTGCCACTGAACATCTGAATGATGCAGAGGAGGACTGGTTGAAAGTGTTGTGGTCAGATGAGACCAAAATCAATCTCTTTGGCATCAACTCCACTCGCCGTGTTTGGAGGAGGAGGAATGCTGCCTATGACCCCAAGAACACCATCCCAACTGTCAAACGTGGTGGAAACATTCTGCTTTGGGGGTGTTTTTCTGCTAAGGGGACAGGACAACTGCACCGCATCAAAGGGACGATGGATGGGGCAATGTACTGTCAAATCTTGGGTGAGAACCTTCTTCCCTCAGCCAGGGCATTGAAAATGGATTGTGGATGGGTTTTCCAGCATGACAATGACCCAAAACACACGGCCAAGGCAACAAAAGAGTGGCTCAAGAAGAAGCACATTAAGGTCCTGGAGTGGCCTAGCCAGTCTCCAGACCTTAATCCGATTGCAAATCTGTAGAGGGAGCTGAAAGTTCGAGTTGCCAAATGTCAGCCACCAAACCTTAATGACTTGGAGAGGATCTGCCAAGAGGAGTGGGCCAAAACCCCTCCTAAGATGTGTGCAAACCTGGTGGCCAACTACAGGAAAGATCTGACCTCTGTAATTGCCAACAAGGGATTTGCCACCAAGTACTAAGTCATGTTTTGTGAAGGGGATCAAATACTTATTTCTCTCATGAACGTGCAAATCAGTGCATAATTTGTTAGACATGCATTTCTTTTGAATTTTTTGCTTTTCTATTCTGTCTCTCAGTGTTAAAATACACCTACCATTCAATTTTTAGACTGATCATTTCTTTTTGAGTGGGCAAACATTCAAAATAAGCAGGGGATCAAATACTTATTTCCTTCATTGTATATAGTTTTGGAGCTCTTACATGTTACAAAATACAAAATAATTTGGCTAATAGACAGTTGTTTTTTAATTGTTTTAATTAACATTGCCAATGCAAGAAAACAATAGGTAGACCATGTAAAATCTGTAATTTGTCAACTGAATTAGACTGTATCTGATGGGAGCTAAAGTTGCTTTCGGCTGCTAGCTGAATATGCATTTGCTTCATAAGGAAATGAGAATTAAAAGGCAAAGTAAACTTATTTGTGGAAAATTGCTTTGCCATTTTATACTTTTGTTAATTCACAGAGAAGGGCAAGGTGATGTGTTTATTAGCTAAGGTTGCTACAGAGTTTTTGCTTTCTACTAGGCAATTTAAATGTAACAGCTTTCCAATGAGATATATGCTAAGACAAGCATGTCCAGCAGATGGCAGCAAATGATATCTTGTAGGTAATACACTGGAGAAGGGTGATACCATACAAACAAGTCCACCGTAATTATGCTTGATAAAGATATATGTAAACTTTTGACAGCTATCAAGTGCAGCTGAAACAAGAGCCTTCCTTATGTACGGTTGATAATTCTGCAAGTTTCAGCATCTCAGCTGAACTGATATCTAATATCTCAGTCAATCATCTCAGTTGATCTGAAATTCAGTATAGCTTTCTCTCACCCTCTCTGTATGTATATATATATATATATATATATATATATACACTGTATATACACACACTGTTCTGTCCTTCTAGATGTTACCTTTGGCCTAAATGCAGCTTGGCATGCAGCTAAACTTTCCCATCTTCTTCAAATCAGCTAGACTGTATCTAAAGCAATGAACGTTTTATTGTATAAACAGGATGAGGTGAAACTGGGCAGAGAAGGCAACCATTTGCACAGCTTTTACTCCAATGGGCCACAGCTTGATATGAGTCAGGACCTGGCAGCTCATTTTTTTTTGTGTGTTCACACTAACTGCTTATCTTCCTCCCAGGGGTGGACTGACAACTCATGGGGTCCCCGGGCAATAGGGGGTCATGGGGCCCCTGTGTCCTTGCCCAAACTCAAAAAAGCCTATGAAAAAGGTACCAGGGTCATCTCATGGGGCCCCCTACTGACCTCGGGCCATTGGGCGGTGCCTGAGTTTCCAAATGGTCAGTCCACCCCTGCTTCCCTCCCTTCCTGCAAAGCCACACCTTGATGGCTACTGCTGTTACCATCTCAGCAGCGATGCTCTATTTGTTTATATTGTGTTGGCCCGCTTAGTAGCCTTACTGGCTGAGCAGGAAGTAGGGCAATGAGAGGAGATGAAGTGCTGAGTGAATGCAATACTGCCCCTTCTCACAGCGGCAGTCTGCTCAGAAGAACAGCAAGATAACATTCTGGTGCAAAAAAGGGGTAGAGGACATGTGTACACAAGCAATTATATAAGTTAAAGGAAATTAAAAACACCGCCAATAGAGTCCATACATATACAGTACATATGTGTAGATATTGAGTCCTTAACCGCTTTCCCGCCTCCCTATAGCAGATATACTGCTAAAGGGCTGCAGGGTGCACAAAATCATGTATATATTACGTGACTTTGTATTTCTGGGTAGTGAGTGCAACCTACCCGCGCTGTCATTCGCGGTCGCGGCTGTCACTCACAGGGTCTGATTACCCACCAGCGCGATTACCGAGCATCTCCAGGAAGGAGGAGGACTGTTTTGTTTACTAACAATCCTCCTCCCTGTCAGTTCAGGCACACAGACATCGCCCTCCAGTAAAACACTCCCTGCACACAGTTAACCCTTTGATCACCAATGTTAACCCCTTCCTGCCCAGTGCCATTAGTACAGTGTCAGTTTTTTTTT